TTTTTTTTTTTTTTTTTTTTTTTTTTTTTTTTTTTTAGTTTCAGATATTCTAATGGGTGTTACCTGTTTTTGTTAAGTTATAGAGCTTCCTTTTTCAGGGTGGGATTGTTTCATCTAGCAGATTTGTAAAAGCTCTGAGATATTTCAGACCCAGACTATATGGGAGACTGTTACCATTTGTACTCTTTTATCTGCCAGATTGGGAAATGGTTGTTTACCAATAAAGCTGAACACCCACAATCTACAAAATTTCCTTTGCAGTAAATTGACTCGTTTTAGAAAATTCTTTCACAATAGAAAACCAGTATCATTTCAGTTGATGTGGATTGTGAAGATTTATAGATTTTAAACTTCTTAGTTCTTCTGAAATCACAGATACAAAAAACCTATGGATACAAAATTAATTTCACAAAATTAATTATATGCCATCTGTACTGCAGCAGCCATATGGATATAGTCATGTAGTTCTGAAACCAGAGACAGAAAGGTAATAGTTCTCACTCTGTCTGGTCCTTTCTGGTTTTTCATACCTTTTATCTTATCTAAAGAACTTTCCATCAGTTTTCATTTTCAAATAATAATAATAATAATAATAAACTGACATTATGAGTGTATGTAACAAATGGACTTGTTTCCCCAGAAAATGCCTAATAACGCATTCATTCCATTTTGCACTTCATATACTTACACACCATGTACCTGAGCCACTGTTTTCTTTTTAGTCAGAACACTTGCATGATTTGTTTTAGGCCATTGTGCTGGTTTTGGAGTCAACTGGAGAAAAGACCTTTCAAATGATACTGGATTTGTTGAAGACTCTCTGGAAGTCGTCTGTCATTACTGTGGACCAAATGAAAAGAGTGAGTATGGCACGTAGAGAATTCTGTGTAAGGTCTTCCAAAATTTCTATAGTTTCTACCTTCATTCTACCTTCATTTAAGTACTACTTGCAGTCTATTGCTGACTCCTAGGTTGTTTGGGTTTTTTTTTTTTGCATTCTCCATGGCCATTCTGTATCCCATACAAATAATTTGTTGCTTATGGGAATGGCCTCAAGTTGTGCCAGGGAAGCTTTAGATTGGGTATTAGGAAAATATTCCTCACCGAAAGGTTTGTCAAACACTGGAACAGGTTGCCAGGGAATCTCTGGAGGGATTTAAGACGTGCAGAGGGGGCACTTGGTGGACTTGGCAGTGCTGGGTTAATGGTTGGACCCAATGATTTTAGAGGTCTTCTCCAACCTAAATGATTCTGTGATGTATGTACAATACAAAGATTTCTAGCTGCCTTTATGCAGTTAAATGGTTAAAACGAATAATTTAAAATGCTGCAATATTGCTTCACTTTTAAATTTATCTTTTATCTGGTAGTTCTTCCTAATTAAAGTAGTACATTAAAGGCCCACTAATTACAGTGTCAGTTAGAACAGTGTATAGAAACTAGTTTTACACAGTTGGAGTCAGCCATGGCTTTGCTTCTTGGTATGAGTATGGGACAGCAGTTCTGTCCCAGGGCACAGAACTGGGTACCACACCAGGACTTAGGGCAGAATTTACCCAGCTGTGATGAAGTCACCTCTGGTTGTAACCATTGTTTCTCTTGCTCCATAAACTTGTGGTGGTGATTTGTGGCCACATTTTGTTCATTTACATGGAAGACATACCAAATTTTCTTCCCATGTTACTACCCATGTGGTAGCAGCCAGGCTAACGTACAGATTTTGTACTGTCTGGATTTCTGACTTCTAAAGAAGTTAAAAACTCAGCTGGTGTTTTTATGAAGGTAGGTAGCTGCATAATACCCTGGTATTGGCTGGTATTATACCTTGTTTTTTCACTGACTGGCAGCTGCTCTGCTTCAGGTTTGTTAAAACTGTCCATGGTATGTGTGAAACCATATTGAAAAATAAATCCTCTGAGTGCAGAAGCGTATTTAAAAATTGTAATAAAATTGTAGAATAACCAGATCATTATTTGAATCCTTGTACTGCAGGGCTATGAACGAGTTTACTGTGAAATCCCAGACATTAACCTGGATGTGCCACACTCCTATTCCGTGCTTGAGCGGTTTGTAGAGGAATGCTTTCAGGCTGGAATAATCTCCAAACCACTGAGAGACCTCTGCCCTTCAAGGTACTTGTTTCATTGTAGATGGCAAAGGCACTGCTTTCTTCCTATTGTGGGTAACAGAAAGCAGGATCTTGTGACCACAGTATTACAGATTGGAAGTGGAAACTATGGAGGATGGACAGAGTTGAATTGGTAAAAAGTTTATTAAGAAGCTGCACTGATGTGAAACCTGTTATGTGGAGGCTGGGATAAATAGTTGAGGGGAGTCAGCCTCTGGTGAGTCCCAGGCAGCACCTCAGTGCTCCCCAGAGGATGAGGGCTGCCTCTCCGTTGGATTGCTGACTTGCTTGATAGAAATGAGTGCAGCACCGAGATGGAAGATTCAGGTGTCACAATGATCCATGTAGGTGACAGTGGAAAACTGTCAGCTACAGTGGGGCAATCCCCCCCCCCAAAAAAAATCCTTTAAAAATGGTTTAAACTAACCAAACAGCATGAATAGAGTTCTAAGATGAGACAACCAGTTCTAATCTTTATGTCAGGACACTAATGTGAGGTAAGTTCTATACACCCAATCCCTCATATCTATCTGTCATGTGGTTTGTATAGTGCTTTTGGTTTGTTGTTGTTTACTTACTTATGGCATAATTAATTCTGTTTGAACTGTAGCCAATCAGTCTGCTGTTTTCTCCTTAATGGTCACAATACAATTAACCAGTTTAATTTCCTTTGGGGAATACGTGTAAATACATGTAAATTTTTAAATGTGATGTCAGAACTATTATTCATAGTTTTATGCATTGGGAATACTATTTATTCGACAGATCTTTTCCAGTTTAGGTGTTTTGTTAGAATTCTTAAACCATCTTGACAGCTTGTGATAAATTTGGATCTTGAAATGTTAGTGTCTTTATCAAGAACAGCCTCCATTTGTGAACTTTACACTTAAAACTGTGTTTGTGTGTGTCTTGGTATCAAATGCTTTGCAAATTTGGGATGTGGGAGGGTTGAGAGTCATCACTGCATCAAAAGCTTGATTATATTTCAGTTACCATTAGTATGCTGAGAGGCATTTTTGGCTTTTGTGCTTCAGTTTTGGGTAGAAAACTGCCATTCCTAGGTTTTCAAACTTGCATTTTTAAGCAGTTGAGCTGATACTGTGATCACTGCTAACCCTGCTGAACTTGCACACCTTATATTTGACTCCCAAGAAGGTTCTTCTTAGGGATAAAAAACAAGCAATGCTACTCTCAGTTACTGAAGATATTTTCTACTTTCTTACAGGGGCAGAAAGCGTTTCGTGAGCGAAGGAGATGGAGGTCGTCTTAAGCTGGAAAGCTACTGAATGTGAGAACTGACTCCTGAAGCCTTACAAGTTTAAAGGGAACATAGCTAGCTGTCTATATATACAAACACGCATGCTTCTTCCGTGTGTGTATGTATATATGTATACACATATATAATATACCAAATCTGAGAGTTGCTTAGCACAGTTCGTATTTTTTTAAAAGCACATGTTTCGGGTACAAATTGTTTTTTTGGTTTTGTTTTGTTGTTTTGGGGTTTTTTTGTTTTTGTTTTGTTTTTTTTTTTTTTAATAGTTTTGTAAATTTCAGAAAGAAGTGTTCTTTCTTTGGGCATAATAGTAGAACAACTGGCCACTGCTGTGGTGGTGCCTTCAAATAAGCTATCTCTGTACGTGCCATGTTTATGACCTAATCATTCCCCATGTGCATCCATGTCCGACTGCTGCGCGCTCTTTCCAGGACAGTGCTGTCATCATAAAAATCACTGTTTATACTAAGCTTTATAGAAGGGTCAAGTTGAGCTGCTGTGATCCCATTTCCATTGCTGCTGAAGAAATACTGTGCTTTGGGAGGAAAAAAAAATAGAAGTTTCTTTGTTTTAAAGAGCCCAAGAAAATAAAGAGTTGGATCATAAAGATAAATTCATCTTTTTCAGGGGAGAACACTGGTTGGTTTCACCCCCTGTGTACCGAACTTGTCTTTTTTTTCTATGTAACTGGAAAAGTGAAAAGTTCTGGTAAAACATATTAAAAATATTTTTTGTGAAGCTCTTGTTTGTGCCTCCTTTTTATTTCTTTTAAACAGAACAAATTTAACTGTGTTCAAATCTCTGAAGTGTGTGCAATTCGGCAGTACATCTAACACCGCCCTTTGGTATTGCAATCAGCGTGTAATTAAACTCATGGTAAGTATTTACCAGATCTGTTTTTGAAAACACAAGTGCCTGGCGTAGGAGCATCCAGGCTGGCACAGATAACTGAGAACGTGTCTGTACAGCACAGCTCTGCCAAGCCCTTGCTCAACAAGAAGAAGAATCTAAGGAATACTCGTGTACAGGAACACAGTGAAGCCTCTCCTGTGTTTTTCAGTTTCATGTCAAGATTTGAGGTGTTCAGAAGTGCTGGGAAGTAGCCGTTCCAGGCCCGGGAACACGACGTGCTCCAGGAGACAAGCGATGCCCTGCTTAAGCGGGTCTGGTAAACCCCGCTTAGAGCAGTGGGGTTGTGTAACTTGGCTCCTCCCGCGGTCTGCCGGGGCCCTCCCAGAACAGCTCCTGCCGGGGGCGGTTCTGGTACCTCTAAAGCCGCGTTTAAAACCTCGCCTTTGAAGCGACCAGCGGAACTTCTCCACGAAAAGCACCCGACACGCGGCCTCCCCCGCCCAGCGCAGCACCACCTCCTGCGTTCCAGGCCAGACTTTAATCCGCAAGCCCCGTTACAAAGCGCTACCTCGATCGCGGGAGCGGCCCCGCCAGGCTCGGCCCCGCCAGGCTCGGCGCCCCCCGCCCGGGGCTATGGCTGGGCCGGCGCGGCCCCCGCGGACGGCGGCGGGGCCCCCTCGGGCGGCTGCGCGGCCTCCAGCGCCGCCCGCTGCAGCTTCTCCAGCTTCTCCAGCGACACCGACTTGAGCGGCAGGATCTTGGGCTTGCACAGCACCATGGTGGCCGCGTCCTCCACCGACAACTGTCCTGAGGGGGCAGAAGGGCGGTGCGTGAGCGCCGGGCCGGGCGGGCCGGGCTGAGCCGCGCCCGCGGGCCGTACCTTGCTTGGGCAGCACCTCCCGCAGCGCTCCCGTCCCCTCCGGCATGGCGGCTCCGCACAGGACCTCCGGCGGGAGAACTACAGCTCCCAGCGCGCCCCGCGCGGCGCCCCGCCCGCGCTTTGATTGTCGTGCCCTCCCGGTGTATGCTGGGAGTGGTAGGCCTAGCGGGAGCGCTCGCTGCCAACGTGCGCGCTGGGAATTGTAGTCCCTGGCGTGGCGCTGCGCCGGGGCAGCGCCGAGCGGGACGGGAGTGGCTCCGCCGGGGCTGTCCCGGGGCCGGGATGCCGCTCCCTGCCTCAGCTGCGCCGGGCTCTGCGCTGGGGCGGTGCCGTCCCACCTGCGCGGGCCTGCCCGGCCCCGGCGAGCCGCTGCCTGCCCGCCCGCCGGGGCCGCCGCACCTCCCCCCACTCGCCTCAAACCTGGGCTTTGGGGCGCTTTTATTTATTTATTTTTTTTAATTTTTTTTTTTTTACAGAAAATCCTCAGCAGACACCGTCCAGCAGACAGGCGTGGCCAGGGCGTACGCGTCCCGGTGTTCATTTCCAGGCAGCGCCTCGGGATTCGCGACGTGAATCAAGGTCCTGTTTGACATGTAAACAGCAGTAAAAGCCGGTGTCTTTCTAAACACCGAGAGATTAAATGTCGCCGAACCTGATGGGCCAGCGTACCGAGATCCCCCCCGCCCCCCAAGAGGATAGGTTCGCCTTTTGGAAGATCCTTGCCGCTGGGAGCAGCTTCCCTGGGAAACCCCCCTGGGGAGCCGCGGTTTGACCCGGTGTCGGCGGACAGGGATTTGCCTATCCTGGGCCTCTGCGATGTCCCAGCAAGCCCCGATTCCGGGACGTGGTGTAATTTTAGAGTTTGCTAATGAGCTTGCCTGTGTGCCCGGCACACAGTGTGTGCCTTGAGGATTGGCAGTGCAGGCTGGTAATCCTGCTAACCTGGCCCTGGCAGGTGGTGACAACTCCTTTAATTGTTCTAGGATTGAGAGCTGGCTTCTTGCTATGCACAGAGCCTGGCGTGGATGAGTAAAATGAGGGAGAAAATTATTTTTGCTAATAATTCTTTTCCATTCTGCCTTCATGGTGGCTGTCGGCATGCTCCCCTCTGCACGCTTAGGCACCGTCCTGGACCTGTCAGCTGTGGGATCCAAGGCTTAGGTTTGCTGGGACATAAAACTGTGATAAAACATTTATGTTCCAGTAAGCGACACCTCTCTGATAGTTATTTAAAGTCTCTGTCTGCATTGTTCCAGAACTATTTCCTTTTTCCTCTAAGCAACCTAGAGTAGGAAGCTGACGGTCCCTCAGGTAACCCGCTTTCACCTCGCTGGAAGCCTCGCCTGATGTTGGATTGGAAGCCAGCAGAACCACAGAGGGTGAGAGTGGGTCTCCTCCTTCCTGCCTTTTGTGGAGCTGGCCAAAGATAACACTTCTGGGTTGGTCCCGGGTAGCACAGAAATGGGCCCTTTTTGTTGTTACTCACATATTCCACTCTCAGGTCAGAAAACTGGCATGGATGATGCTGTAAAATGGACGTGCTTGCTTGGGACATCCTTCTCTACTCTTTGAAGTGCTCAGAAGCATTCTGACTGATTTCAATGGGAAAAGATTCTTTGTCTGATGTGTTAGTCCATGTGCCAATTAGTATTTCGTACTGACTGGAAGGGAAAGGACTAGGGACGGATTTATGATGGATGTTTGTAGAGCAGGGCATTTTAAACAGTAAGTGCAATTTGCAGATCAGTAATTCGGTAGTTGTTTGTTTTTAAAAAACAATTCAGCATCTTAGATATGGCTATGGCTGAAAGTGAACATAAAAGACAGTGAGTTATGACTGAAAATTCCACACTGTGGAACTAAGAGTTATTCCTGTGGTAAAAAATACGGCCTGTGGAGCAACAGAAATAAACTGAAAGCAAGGTGTTGTAAATCAAATTGGAGGCCAGGTTTTTTGCCAGTGTCCTTCACAGTGCCAATGACTGCCTGGAGTCCAGCATTATGTGAGGACGGGCGTTTGGAGCCTGTCTCAGTCATGTAGGGAATCACTTTCCAAATGCAGTTTTCCTGCCAACGGGGTTTGTTTGCTTGGTGATAAGAAACAATGGTCAGCTCGATTTGTTACATGAGCATTTTAGTGACTGAGAAGTGGAGTCTGGCATCCTATACTAAATCCATTTTCTTAGTTACTCAAATGCCAGCTTGGCAGCTTATTTAAAAAGCTGATAGTACTGGGACAGACATGACTGTGAGGTTGTTTCCAACAGTCTCTTTTGTAAGTCTACTTTTAAGACGCCTCTCTCAGTTGGGAAAAAAACCCACAGTTACCACCTTCAGGACTGGGAGGTCTGGATGAGAGAGAGAGGCATAGGCATTGTCTGCAGCTTAATATCCTACTTTTCAAAGTACCTTAAAAACAGTACTGAGTTTAGTTTTGAGTAAGGCTGATTTATTCACTAGAGTGGTATTAGCTATATTTAAGAGGGGAAAGCATGTCATGGAGGACATAATTCCCCTTGTTTTGTTGGAAAAGAAGCAAGAAGAGAAGTTGTGACTTTTCTAATTACAGATGAGGGATCAAATCTTTCCCTATGCTGAAGAAAGCATAGTTATACCCCATTTTTTTGCTATTTTTGGTCTCTAGGATCAACATGTGCTTGAACATACACTCATTTCTCTCATGGACCTTTCCAGTTTCCAGAAATAGCTAGAAAGTTATTTGCCAAAACCTTTCAATCTGGGAAAAAGCACCGTGCACTTGCAGTTGGTCTGTGCTGAGTCAGTGCATTATCTCGGTGTCACCCCACGAGGCTGGAGAAATCAGAACTAGACTACAGCCATCATGATGCCCAGGTCTCAAGTTGTGTCCCCGTGGCATGCAGCTTCCCAAGTCCTGAGACTTGATCTTCAGATAAAACCCAGTGTTAGAGAAAACGTGATGTGGTATCCATGGAGAGGACAACACGTTCTCGGTTGCACATCCTTGTTTTACTGATGTCACAAACAAGTTATTCTTGTACACTGCAGAGAGCCTCACAACCACAAAACCAGCAATAATTTTATAAATGATAAGCTTGTTTTCCTCCTCCTCTTCCCAGATACTCCGAGTGCAGCAGACAGCAGAGATGTGCATTGCTGGAATCCAGAGTGTTTCGTAATTTGGCAGCCACTTGCTGAAAGCCCTGCAGATACAAAACAACACTTATTTCAAGTCTTGAGAAACATCTACTAAGTAGAAGAAAAAAGCATTTAGGTGAAGCAATGTTGCCAGTCCCATTTGTTTATGAGGCTTGGTTTTTGCCTCTGTACATTTTAAATGCTTTTTATTTTCCTTCTGCTTTTTGAGCCTTTCAAGTTCACGTTTTCCATGTTTTCCATATAACAAGAAAGTCTGGAATCAAGTCCTTACTTTAAAAAACAAAAATTTGGTTCAGAGTCCTGTATAATCATGTAGCTCCAGACAAAGGGTGTTAAAAAATAAAGCCACTTTGATGAGAACTACTCATCTTGAAGGTGACTTTCTCTCCTGAGTTTAAGTACATACTTTGTTGACAGTTTAAGAAGCTTTTAACAGCACCTGATCTGTGTTTGCTTTCCACTCAGATCTCTCTCTCTTTTCTTCTTTTCTAAAAATCTAGAGCATGTTTCACCTCTATATGTGCTGACAAGATCAGAAGTGCAGGGTGCCAGCATGACTGTGACTGTGTTGAACAGTGCACACCAGTGCTTTCAGAAATACAGGTGCAGATTTCATGCAATTGTCTCCTTAAGCTGCTGAGTGGTACCATGGGACACAGAGCCCAACTTCAGAGACCGGAGGAGGAAGGTGGTTTGGGTTTACTGGGTGGGGTAAGGCGGGGAACAGAAAGCCTGGTGTGACTCCCTGAGGGAATCCCAAAGAATCCCAAATGCCTTCAGAGCCTGAAACTTGATAGCTTGTGTTTAACCCAGTCCTTGTTTTTGAAAGGGAGTTGACAGACAAGTGATTTCTTTTAGTTGAGCTTTCAGAATATACTTATTTTAAATTTGTTGTTTGGTGCAGTGGGATCCTCAAGCTGTATGCAAAAGACAAGAAGGAGATGACCCTATTCAGTGTGATGATTTTTCTTTCACTGCTACATATGTAAAAGTGTCTGGAAATCCAAGGGACACAAAACCAGCTTTTTGACAGGCTGCTCTTCCTGCTAAAACCTGGTAAATGCAGAGACCTGACTGTGTGTAAGTCCCATCCTAGGCTCCCAGGCCAAATGCTCTTTCCTGGCATTTCTAGGAGGTTACTGCTCTACTTGTGTGGTTTGAATCACTTAAGTCTTTGGCCCTGTGCCTTGGAGTGCCAGCAGAGGCATGCTGTAATTGCCCGTAAATGCACCGTCTGTCATATTATTGTTTAATTATTCCAGCTTCTTACCGCCACACACTGCTCAGTGTCTCTCTTGCTATCTTTATTTAATTGAGTGGAAAAAATTCGAGACTTGTGCTTCACTTACATCACTTTGTTTTTACTCAGCTTCGCTGGATCCTATGATGAAGTCCTACCTTTTGTATGCAGAAGTCAGTCTTCTGTATAGAAAAACTATTGTCAATATCTAAAGCATATGTTAGAAAGAGAATCAATATTTTAACACATGGTAAAGTCAAACCATAAATTTCCTGACACAGACAAATGATTGTATTATTCTGCCTTGAAAAACTACTCCTCCCCCCGAGAAACAAGAGAGGGAAAGAAAACTCTTGAATAACTAAGCCCTTGTCCTCACAATGCAGGACTGTTCTTAGCCTGTTGCTCTGTGTTGCTTCTTTCTTTTCTGTCTACTAACTCTCTCTTTTTTTGTGTGTGTCAAATGCCTTCCTTTTCAAGACCTGTCTTTCCCTAGCCCATCCCTGTTCATCTGTTCCAGACTATTACCAGGATGTCGGCTCTTTCCTGAGATCAGCTTGTGATGACCAGTTCCACTGCCAACTTGCTACCATTTCAAATATGTCTGTGCTTCCTCACAGCCTTGCAACCAGCCCCTTATTAATGTGTGTTGAAAAAATAATCTTTCAGAGCTCTCTCCAACACTCTCAATGTCCGTATGGCCTATAAAAAAACTTGGCAGC